GATCAGATCATAGAAACTTTATTTTCTTGTTACGATGATTCTCCACTTCACTCTGAAATTCTTTAAACTTTTCAGATGTTTCAGACTTGTTTTTCATCAAGTAGATATACCCATACCTACTTAAATCATTTGTGAAGGTTAGAAAATAACGATACCCGCCGCTTGCTTCAACACTCATCGGACCGCATACATTGGTATGTATTATTTCCAATTAATCATTAGCTGCTCCATTGTTCCGGAGAACGGAGTTTTAGTCATTTTACCCATGAGGCATGGTTCGCAAGTATCAAATGATTCATAATCAAGTGATTCCAAAAGTCCAATGGAGTTTTTCTTCATGTGTTTTACACCAATATGACCTAAACGGCAGTGCCACAAGTATGTTGCACTATCATTATCAACTTTGCATCTTTTGGCATCAATATTATGAATATGTGTATCACTACGATCGAGATTAAATAAACCATTTACATTGGGTGTATGACCATAGAAGGTTTTATTCATGTAAACAGAACAACAATTATTCTCTGACTTAAATGAATAACCGTATTGCAATAAACATGATCTAATCATGTTCATGCTCAACACTAATCCCAAAGGTAGAGGGAGTGTGCGGTGGTGATCATATCAAACTTGGAAACACTTCCAACACACGTCATCACCTCTCCCTTAACTAGTCTCCATTTATTCTGCAACTCCTGTCTCGAGTTACTAATATTAGCAACTGAACCGGTATCAAATACCCAGGGGCTACTACGAGCACTAGTAAGGTACACACCAATAACATGTATATCAAATATACCTTTGTTTACTTTGCCATCCTTCTTATCTACCAAGTATTTGGAGTACACTAGTAAGGCACAACGAACAGGAACCGGTGGGTGAACCGATTGGTTTGATCAGGGCGTTACAGCTACCGAGAGGCTTTTGGCTTCAAGTGAAAAATTAGGATGGCCTGATATGCTTGGATCAATTGATTTCATGCACTGAACATGAAAGATTGTCCTGCGGGATGGAAAGGTCAGTACAAAGGCACTCCAAAGATCCAACAATCGTTAATGAGGTAGTTGCATCGGAGGATCTATGAACTTGACATTCATTCTTTGGATTGCCTGACTCTCATAGTGATCTGAATGTGTCGAGATCACCACTATTCTCTAGGCTTGTTGCCGAAGATGCCCCTCCTTGCAACTATGTTGTCAATGGTCGTCAGTGCACAATGGGTTACTACATTGCAGATGGCATCTATCCTCCAGGGGCCACATTTGTGAAGACAATCGTGTGTCCTCAAGGCTACAAGAGATCTCACTTTGCAATGCGTCTAGAGTCGACAAGGATGGATGTTGAGAGGCTTTCGGTGTGCTTCAAAAGTGCTTTGCCATTGTTCGTAGATGCAAACAGGATACAGAGATTCCTTGTTGCGCATCGAAGCATCAAGAACCAAGAGGTTGATACATAGCTCCAAGATGACCTTGTTGAGTAGCAGTGGCTAATTCATTGCACCGGTTGGTTGTTGTGCTTCTATCATGCTCTTTACTTCATTTGGACCCTTTCGTGTGTTTGAATTTGAATGATTTAAATTATAAATGTTAAATTTGTAATATTCATGAATTGTGTGAACTTTAATTATTAAGTTTGGATTTAACATGTGTGCAAATATTTAGTTGAAATGTAGTACGTACACAGAAACTTAGAATAATTGGTGAAGAATATATGGAGTGTGCCAATATTAGGAGTTTCTATCATGATTTTTAGGAAGTTAAGTTTGAGGAATTCGGCTAGGAACCGTTTTTTAGCACAACAAATATAAGGAGTTAAACTATAATGGGCCCTTTGAGGACCTAAATTATAGGAGATCGCTGGAGATGCTCTTAGTAGTTGGGATCTAAATAGCCAGGTGTGGCTTGTTTATGGGGTTAGTGAAGATCAGACTCAGAATAGAGCTTCTTGCTCACATCTTCTCCCCTATCCCTCTATCTCAGATCCCCCTTCTTTGTTCTTTTTCTTCCTCAAGACTTCTCCCAACATTACAACCCTGATCAAGTGATTATCCAACTACCTAGGTATAATATTAATCGATTGTGATCTGTTAGTGTGCAGACATCATAGTTGGTATCAGATTCCAGTCGATTGGTGGTGGCGGCTGATCGAGCTTGGTGTTGGTAGGGTTGGGTTCTCTCACATAATCCTGTGTTGGTGTCGAAGTTCGCGACGACGGTGTGGCTGTTGTGTTCCTTTGGCAGCGCCGATGGGGATGTCTGGCCATGGGTGGATCATTCGGCTATAGATCGAGCGCCTCTTTCGGTTGCACACGATCCCTTCATGTGTGTGAAATTCTGGTTACAAGACTCAGTTTGAATGGGTTTTGGCGGCGATTGGGAATCAGATGCAGACAAGGTTGGCGGATGCCGTAAAACGCTTGAATACTCGTTGATTCATGTCACCTTCCATCATGATGGAATAAGAGTTTGCCCTCCTTTTTACCAAAGAAGGAGCAACTTCCCCAACTTGCGGTAGGTCGCTCCTAGATCCTTGGTGGTGAATTTTGGCTGGTATATATCAAACACCTTGGAAAAGCAGTAGGTTCAAAATCAAGCACATCCATCAAGCTCTTTAGCCGGCTCGAAAAGCACTTTTTTCCTCACAATTCTAGAAAAGTGATATATTGTCAAGCTACAAACAGAATTATTTAATGCTATATGAAAGAATATAAAAATGAGCCACGATATCTGTAATCATGACCTTGCATTATTTTCATGTTAGGACATGTATGATGTGAAATCAAGTAGAGACTACGTGTGGGAACCTTGTATGCGGACAATTCAAACTTACTCCCTCCGTTCACTATCATAAGGCGTTTTAATACTTTCAATGTGGACTATATACGGATTGAAATGAATGAACAAACACGCTAGAATGTGTCTATATACATCTGATTTAAAAAAAATTATAATAGTAAACGAAGGGAGTATTATATTTTAGATGATAGCATGATCATGTGCAAGTGCTATCATCTAAAAAAAATTCCAGCTATCCTTCGAAAAAGTGGGATTTTCTTTTAACTTGAAATACAGTAAACATGAAGAGTGTACGGCCTTTGGAAAATGCCACGCCATGTATCATTCCAAACCGAAACGGACGTTACATTTTCATCAAATTATCCACCAGGAACTAGACCATTAACAGTTAGCACTTTGTCAAGAAGCGGCTTATTTATTTAGAAGATGAAAAATGGGTGATAAACATTTCCAGCTGGCCCAGGTATGGATGCAGGATTTCGCGTTAGTAACCGAATCTTTGAGAATCAAACAAAACCTCCCTTAAAAATATTGGATCCCTAAAATTAAATTTGCTAAAGAAAACCCCCAATCAACAAAGGGCGCTGATCTGCGCCGGTGCGCCGGCCCAAATGTTGGGCCGGTCCAGCGCCAACAGTCCAATGCGCGAGCCCTGGCCGCACGATGCAGCGAGCGCTACCGTCTAATTCGGGGGCCGTTGTCTTCCTCCTATCCTCTTCTTTCCTTCCGCGGCAGCGCGAGCGCCGCCCTCGGGCCTGGGCGTCCTCCCGGCCGCCGGCTCCTCTCCAGCGTCACCGTCGCCCGCGTGGCCTGCCCCCGGTCCTCGCCAGCTCCGCCGCATGCAGCTCCTACCGGCAAAGGTCGCAGCTCCGACGAAGGAGTGCCGCCCCGTCTAGCTTGTAGCAACGCCGCTCACCGCCGATGGCCACATCTCAGCGCGAAGCCGCCAGTAGTTCATCACCGGTCCCTCGAGTTCGTCGCCGCTGCAGCTCCGCCGTGAAGCCATTGCATCAACGGTGAGGTGCCATTCCAGCTTTTTGTCGCCAGGTTGAAGCTTTTCAAAAATATGGTTGAAGCTTTTCATGTCAATGGTTGCAACTTTTTTGTTGTGTACTCGCGGGTTGAAGCGTCCTATAAAGCCAGTTGAAGCTTTTTATAAAACCGGTTGAAGCTTTTCAATTCAACGGTTGAAGCTTTCTCAAAAAATGACGGGTGTGGATTTTCTATTTCATAGTGGTCCGATGAAACTTCTCTATTCCGTCGTTTGCAGCTTTTCAAACTATGGTTGAAGCTTTTCGTATGAATGGTTGTAGCTTTTTTCAGTGCATGGTGTCCGGTTGAAGCTTGATATACCGCTAGTCGAAGCTCTCGAATTGAACGGTTGTAGCTTTTTTGGTCGTCGGTTGCAACATCAGTGGAGGAGAAAAAAAATGCTTCCAAAGTTCGTCTGGAAGCAGATGGTTGGGGAGGAGGTCGCGCACTCGCGCTGCCGTGGTTGAAGCATCTCCGGTGGACGATTCCAGCACAAGGGAGTACGAACAGCAGCTCGCAGATGGTATATCCATGGCGGCTTCCAACTCCAGCTCACCGGGCGCGCAAGGAACCTGCAGCCGGGGGGGAGGGTGGCCAGCTGGAAAGAAAGGGATCTGAAGGATGGCTAGGGCTAGCCGGCGGCAGGGCTTCCAACTCCAACTCACCAGGCGCGCCTGCAGCCGGGGGGAGGGTGGCCAGCGGGAAAGAAAGGGATCTGAAGGATGGCTAGGGCTAGCCGGCGGCAAGAACTGAAGGAGGAAGAAGGGGATCAGGAGGAGCGCGAGGCGTACGATGCGCTTCACCTCGCTTCGATCGAGTGGCCCGCACGGGACCGGCGGAACGGTTCAGCCGGCACGCCGTTCCTAAACACTTCCCATCAACAAATATGGCCTACTACACAACACCCTATAAACGAATTACTGCTTTGTCTGAGAAGGAGCTTATTTATTTAAAAGATGAAAAATACATTACACGCCGAACTTAATTGCAAAGCCTTGCCTATCCTTCCTACCAATAATCAATTGTCTAGAATAAACAAACGTCCTTATCCTGTTTTTGTGTTTTACATACCTAAAATATGGGAATATAAAAAAATTCTCTGACGTAACCACGCTCAACTAAAACAGGGTAACGACTAGAAGCTGGAGCCTAGAATTGTTTTTGCTTCATTCATTCCTTGAAATCGTCCTTGTCATCTGCTGGAAGGCCTCTGTTTCTCCAGAAAACTGCGAGAGCACTGCCTCCGAGCTGTCAGTGAAGAAAAGAACAGTCAGATATTGACATGAACCACCACGCAATAATATACTCCCTCGAGGTAGTACTTGCTACTCCACGCAATAATATATTAGGAGTAGTGACTACAGAATTATGAGGGGGAGAGGACAAGAAAACCTACCGCCATGCACACAACACTGACAGCAGAGGGAACAGCAACAAGAGGATTCGTGAAGTGCTTTTGGGCAAGTAAAAATCCAAGCGCAGAACTCTGCAAACATGAAGAATGTGACATGTCACTATTAACCACAAAAAAGGGCATTAAAACATGGAGCGTGTTCAAAATGGATGTAAACTTCATATGCACTAGTCAAATCAATCCAGCTAATGCACATTCTGATGCTCTGCAAACTTAAATCAACTACCTCAGTCAATTTAGCAGGGTGTTGATAATGTAAACCTAGACAAAATTTTATCCTTATCCTTGGGTCTTTTGGTGTCCACCACAATTAAACTGATATAACATATTTGCACATTTAGACGTCAATATTTCAGCAACAACTACATGAGGAACTGAATCTAAACAGGTAGTGCACGAAAGACTGCATTTAATAGATACGTTGACTACATTTACCTTCCTAATATCCAGGTCAATAATACAAGAACCATAGTGTTATTAAAGCTGCTGCCTTGTGACCATGAGGTACTATAGACCCAAAGTGGTCGGACCCTTCCCCGGACCCTGCGCAAGCGGGAGCTACATGCACCGGGCTGCCCTTTTTTTTAGTGTTATTAAAGGCCATACAAGTGCTACGGCTAGATAAGAAAAATATTAAACCTGAGCATTTGAATATCTGTGTACCTGCATCCCACACTCAATTGAGATGGTTCTAGAAGTTGATTCCCCGAAAGAAGACCATTTCGAGATCCAATAGCCAAGAGCGAATGCAACAGCATGCAGCAGAGCAACAGGGAGAATAAGTTGAGCACCTTGAGTTTTCAACACTTCTGCGACTTGCCCAATCTTGTAAGATGTAAAGTTTCAATTAATAATAGTGACAGAAAGTAGCACTGGTGACCAAAATATCACAAACAAGAGCATAACATTTACTTGAAAAATAAGAACTTCAAAACAGTATATGAGTACTACATGTCGGCGATGTCACCATTTCGTGGGATAAAAGTTGCAAAATTTGTGGAGAGCAGACATTATTTAGGTTAAAGTTCAACATAATGCATTCTAATTAACTCAAGCAACAACTCCACTCGTCTTCTCATCAGGACACAAAGTGTCTGAATTAACTATGGGCTGAAAGAAAGGCTTGAAGCATTACTCAGATCGTATGTTTACAGACTTACAGGGCTAGCACAGAGCAAGGTGGTGAGGATGACCCCTATCAGTGGTGTTATGGAGATAATCCGCTCGGTAAACTTGGGAAAATACTCATGTGCCAACACTGCAAATTAAACAGAAATAGTGTCACAACATATGTCGAAGAAGGCATTTCTAAGATGCCACAATGTACAATGGATCTTCAATTAAGATTCACCTCCAACGATAGTCGGTACTAAAACAACCTGAAAAGTACTGATGGCCAAGCCCTGCACAAAAAGAGTTTAATTTAACTAAGATTTGATCAATTAAACTAGCAAGCAGTTGATTCAAGATACAGATCGTAGTGTGTTTACTGCAGCATCAACAGGGACTAATTGACCAGCAAGGAGTTTAGTAAGGAGTGGTGTCATCGCTATAGCACCAATAGTCGAGCAACTGGAAGATTCAGAAAAATCTTGTTAGAATAGTACTGGAAGCAGATAAAGTAACAGGGCATCTAAAGAGGTTACTGGATTAAATCGAATAGAATGGCACCACATAAGTAATTTGCAAGTAACAGTTTGCTGCTCACTGGTCAGTTTCGGCAGAGAAACTTCTATAAAAAAATCACAACTAGAAGAATCTCATGCTTGACATGGCGCATTATACCCATTCCAAAAGTATTCTGCACTTAAACTTACACCATGTTATCCTCAATAGTAAGTCCTATTTGCAGCCTGAAAGCAGTGTGTGCCATCATGGTAGGCAGCAATTTTTGTACGGACTACAGAAGGTGCTAAGTTGATCGCTTCAGATAAATTTGACAGCTAGTACTTAGGATGGAAGCAGGCGGAAATATCCATAACCAATGTAGATCAATCTTTTTATGCAAAATACTAGTAGTAGTTCTAACTCCATAGTAGAATAACCCAAATTCTGTGACGCATAATACAGCGAATTTTGAAAACAGTTAGCACACTAGTGGAATTCTAGTAACTGCAACAGAAGTCAATACTAAAGGCTTCATTTCCACAATGGACGAAGGGATTCAAGAGAGACGGAGGTACATCCGTATATGGATAAATAGATTAAAACAAGCACCAAAGAAATGCCTTTTCTCAAAGAATATCCAAAGCTTACGTGGTCATAAGAACTGAAAGTGCCACATTTCCTTTGGATATGTAAGTTGCAACATTTGATGCTTGACCACCAGGACAACATGAGACCAAAATAAGACCAGTTGCAAGAGGAGCAGATAGCTTCAATGTCTGTAAAATAGGAAAGCAAATTAGGTGCAGATAATTATACTCCCTCCGTTTCTTTTTAGTCTGCATATAAGGTTTGGTCAAAGTCAAGCTTTGCATAGTTTGACTAACTTTATATTAAAAAATATCAACATTCACAACATGAAATCAACATTTTCAGATGCACCATGAAATGTATTTTCATATTATATAGTTCAAGTATTGTAGATGTTCATATTTTTTAATATAAATTTGGTCAAACTTTGTGTAGTTTGACTTTGACCAAAACTTATACGCGGAGTAAAAAGAAACGGAGGGAGTACACTGAAAGAAGAAAGGCTTATGCACACATGTTAGTGCAAATATTCATTTGTACAAGCAATTCTAGGTTTAAAAATAGATTAGCCATGAACAAAGAGAAACAATTCGCCAACATAACTCATACATTTCTAAACTCAAACATGAAGTAATTGAAAAACTAAGAAGATAATGAGGTGCACAATAAAATGAGCAAACTCAGTCACGCTGACTAAATTCAAGACATATAATAAGAGGAAAACATCAGAAAGTTTGAAACGAGGGACAACTCTTGAACTTTAAAATCTTTTTGGGGCATAGCATATTAGACCGGTTCATCAATTCAAGCCATTTATCCTCGTTTTCATTTAATCTTTTATAAACTTTACATGGGAACTGGGAAGTCCTCACATAAGTCTGTTTAGCACAGAAAATGGTCAGCATAACACCATGCAAAGGTGCAACAATCTATAAGCAATCCATATGTTGTTTGTTACTTATTACTACATTATTAGTTTATAAGTACTACCTCCGCCCGAAAAAGCTTGTCACAAGCTTGTTCTTCAAATGGATGTATCTAGCACTAACTTGGCGCTACATACATTCATTTGAGGGACAAGCTTTTTCTGACGGAGGGAGTAGCAAAAGTAAGAAAACTTCTTCAGAGACCTGCTTGCTTTTGAGAAAATAAAAGATGAAACAGGAATATCGCATGTACACTTGCTACTCATGTATAAAGAGTGTCATTTTAGCATGTCATGAAGACTGAACAATTGCTTGTATGCATTTTAATATTTAAATTAAATGCTTCATTTTGCAATACAGAAATTGTTGGTTAAGTAACAAACTAACAATAAGACTATTCATCACGAATTTAAACATCCACCATCACTAAATTATGTAAAACTGAATCAGCAGTATTATGCAAGTTTATTGTCAGCATTACCAATGCGATAGCATATCCTAGCATTGGTTTGATCAAATACTGCGCAAGAAATCCCACACCAACCTGCAAAGAAGCTATTACGTCAGTGAACATACAAAAGAAATTCTACATCAATTCATGAGGTATTAAGTACAGAACTGCATCAATATTTTTATACAAATACATGCGGCCAAGGGGCAAAAACATACTGTCCATGGATTCCTTAAACATCTCCTGAAATCTTCAAATGTTAATGTTAGTCCCATTGACAACATTAGGAATCCTAGGCCCACGGTAAAAAGATCAGTCTCCAACCAGGTGACCTGTAGGTCCAAGGAAAGTAGGAAACCATACATACAATATGTTAAGGCATTAGCTGTGAGTACATAGTAATAGAATTGATAGGTGAGAGAAAGTTTACCATTGATGGCTTGTAGATGCCAATAACTGTACCTAATATGACCTGCAAAAGGTGATCTCCACGTTACTAGATTTACAAAGATTTGCATCAAATTAATGAAAGAAACTACACAGTTCAAGACAAGAGAACTGAAATTTTTCAGATGCTCTCATAGCAACTTACCCAGACAGGGAAAAGAGTTGTGAGTAGCTCAACTATTTTCTCGTACTGGCTTGCTCCAGTAGGCTCGCTCGCTGGCAGGTTACTAGAAATATTAGCTTCTGCCTTGCAGAAAATTTGACGGCTCCTGAGAAAACAACAAATTGTTTTTTAATTTTACGGAAACTATTTTTGAATTATCTGGTCAAGAAGCATACAAAAAAAGCGAGCAAGGAGGAAGAACCCCCCCCCCCCTTATCTTTGTGTTTAAAGTAGGTTACGGAGCCTTGAGCCCAGGTGGCTTGAGTCAAGGGGCAAAAAACAAATGAGAGAATCAAGAAAGACCAAAAATCACAGCTAAGATGGTTCTTGCGAAATCAAATTACTTGGAGAAAGTTAATGCTATTTGATGATGGTTCTTCAATCTTCATACGAAACTATACGGGGAAACTGAGTCTGCCGAATATCACGAATTGGAGAGATAATTTATAGCTATCAAAATTGATCAGCGAAATTAATCAGAAAGTTACAAATGGTCGATAATGCTCTCAAATAAAAACTGAAGATGTCACGACATAGCAACGAGGAATGAGGATTTTTTCGCTTGCATGGGTAGGTCTAAATACACGCAATTCCAAATTGCATAGATGTGCATCTAAAGTAAAATCATCGATGTGCCTCATTTTAGAAAATGTGCACCTGCAAAGAAATAACTAAGTGGGCACCTGCAAAAGGATAACTAAGTGTGCACCTGAATAAAACTAACTAAGCATGCACCTGCAAAAACCTGTCTACCTGTTGCACATCTATGAGTTTCTTGGGATCTTTTCATGATGCATAGATGTGATTGAAGAGTATTGGTAGGCAGGCATGATAAAGCCCCTACCAATTCTTATCTTCTATGTTGAGACATCGCAACAAATTTTAACAACTTGTTCACCTTATCTTCAATTTAAGCATTGAAAAAAAATGCAGTTTAGAAAAGAAATTGCACTATGATTAAAACATAGAATGGAAGTTCAACAGATTGCATGAGTAATGTAAATACCAGTAGCTTCACTGATGGGTAATGGACTAATGGCAAAGCAAGAATTTGACCACTAGAGTTATTAATACAAAAGGGAAAAAATGTTGGTTGGTGTTGTATCACTATATAATGGCCATGTACTTCAAACCAAAAGATACAGACAAGTGCAATCAGTTTGCAAAGAGGTAAATGAATTCCATTGCACCTATAACTGTATACATTTCACTGCAGTCACTCATTGAGTACTGTTTGTTCAGTGTAATAAACCTAAGAGAACATCTCCCTATGCCTACTACCCCAATAGGCCAGGACCAAAACATGCAATGGGCCTGAACCCCACACCCTAGGACCAAATTGAGCATGACCACGAGCCACACTGTAGCTTGATCTCCCTATGTTGCAAAACTTGCAACCTGGCAAGCTCTGACACAGGATCTTTATTTCTTTGACCACTAAAATAAAGCGTTCAGAATTTTATCTTGGTAAAAAATATATATACTCCCTCCGTTCCTAAATATTTGTCTTTCTAGATATTTCAACAAGTGACTAGATACCGAGCAAAATGAGTGAATCTACAATCTAAAATATGTCTATATACATCCGTATGTGGTAGTCTATTTGAAATATCAAAAAGACAAATATTTAGGAACAGAGGAAGTATATAGTTGAAGGTGGGAATATAGAAATCCCCTACCTCACATTAGCGATATATAGTGACCAGTCAACACTCGACAAAAGCAACTGTGTTGACAAAATAAAACCCACCAATTAGGCAATCCATTCCCAGACACGATCAATTTCACAAGCCCAATTAGCATTATACCTGACAACCGGAACAAGAGTGGTCGCTGGTGCGGGCGCAATGGCCAATCCCCACCCGGCCTTCTCCGTGGCAGCACCTCCATATGCTGGCACAGAGCATCCAACTCTCAGTCCGCACCCTGCATCCACGCGAGCAAAACCAGGTCAGACAAACAAACGGAGAAGTGGGGGGAAACCTTCAAAGAGGCTCGTACCGAGACGAGGAGCGGCGAGACGCGGGCGCGGGCGGAGAGCGCGGGAGACGGATGCCATGGAGTGGAGAGGGCAGGTCGCGGAAGGCGCCATGTCTGACAGAGATAGAGTGTGGAGTTCCGGAGGTGGTGGAAGGAGAGGAGTGAGGGTTTAAGACTCTTGAGAGTGAGCGGAGGAGAAGTGGTGGCGCTGGCGTTGTCGTCGACGGGGAGAGCAGCAGTGGGGACGAGGAAATCAGGGGGCGCCGCAAGAACCACACATCCGGGCGGCTTGGCCGCGGCGCGCCTGTGGATCAGGTCAGGTGGCTCCTCTCTGTCGACGGACGTGCCTCCTTCAGTCAGGCGGATCCTCTCTTCTGCGTCAGGATCGACGCCAGCTGCGAATGGGCTCAATCTGTGGAGAAGGAGTATTCGTACCCTCAGGCCCAGGTTCAGAGAGTGAACCACCTGCAAGTGGGTTGTCGGGCTTGACCCGTGTAAGCAGCATCTTGTCCATCGAAATGGACCAAATCCCCTCAAAAGAAAAATCAAAATGTACAAAAAAAATCAAAATGGACGCCCAAATTTTGTCAACAACATAAAAAAAATGGACACCCAAAAATGTCTGTGGACACATTCCTTTGTCCATAATTATATTGTGTGAATATTTGAATGCAACAATAATTCAAAAAATAAATATTACGGAGTACAACCCAAACATGGAGTTCTGCAATAAAGTTCAAATTTGAATTCAACTTATTCAGACATATAGTTTTTCTCTCGAATTGCCCACTTCATGCTCACGGATATTTGTCGCTAGATTCTGCTCAGGAAGTCGGATAGAATCACACATTTGCTCAAATTTCAGACGGTGATATACTTCGTCACCCTCATCCTCCACAATTACATTATGCATGATCACACAAACTGTCATGAGTCATGACCTATGTCTCTGCATCCCATACTTTGCATGTCCTCCCACATTGTCTCGAACAACTGCAAAACAGATTTGGAGCACTCCAAATGCCTTCTTCCTTTGTGGCTTCTTATTGTCTTTGGAAAAAGTGATATATTTTCTCACCCAATGCCTCAGAGATGGTCTCGAGGAAGGTCACGCACAAAGGATATAACATCACAAAGATAATAGTCCATGTTGTAATCGTGACTAGTGATGGTGTAGTTGCACAGAGAAACTTTCTCCGTACACAACCTTGCAAACAATGAAGACCGTTGTAACACGTTGGTGTCATTATGTGACTCGGGCATCACAAGAAAAGATTGAGAGGTCGTCGCTTTAAGAATGATGGTGTGCCTCTTGCAATGACATTGGTATTGCCCTTAGAGCATACTAGTGGTTGGGGGTGGCGCCTCCTGAGAGAAAGCTGGGGCGATGCCAAGTAGGACGCGCCCCTTCCACTCTCCTATTTGTACTTACTAGTGTGTTATGTGTATTATTTGATGTTGTCGTGAAGGAACTGGCATTTAAAATAGAACAAACCAGCAAAAAAGCAACACATGTAGAATAAACAATCATATTATGGATATTAACAAGTGCATATAAACCTCATCAGATACTTGTTTGGTGGTTGGTGCTTACAGATGATCAAGGGTGTTGTATCTAGATTAATAATTGCCATGTATAGAGCAAAGAATATATTGCTATGCAATCTATTCGGTGTTGGCGAATAACTTAGGCATAGAAATGCTACATCAATTTTTTAATCCACCAATGGGCATAAAAAACTTTCATTATTCCTGTTCTAGCGAAGAAACCTTTTCATTTTTTGTACCTGCCATCAATATATACAACATAGGCCACAAGTAAGATGGAGCAGGATGACATTATGCAGGCAAAGAAGAAAGGAGTGTACATGTTTGCAGGTCATGTTGTGCAGAGCCTACTAATACTTCAGAATTAGTCAAACCCTCATTGGTTGCCATTGATGCTTTGACTTTTTTTTGAAAAAGGGGGTGATCCCCGGCCTCTGCATCAGAACGATGCATACGGCCATAATTATTAATAAGCAAAAGGTTCAACACAAGTCTTCATGTCTCGAACAAAGAAACGAAAAAGGCTCACAAAGAGCTAAAAAGCAAAGTAATAGAAAAGCCACAACTGGCTGGCATAAAGAGATAGGATCACTAATTGCCTATCCTATTACATAACCGCCATCCAAACGGTTGAAAATAGCTCGTGCTACCATCTTCCATTGGGTGGATCAGTAACCATACGCTCCCTGGCCTCCGTCGGAGTGAGTAGTGACCACAATAACTTCATAGCAACTAACTTCCTCCAGAACGAACATAAGCCACCAGAGTACATCATCCGTGGTGAGAACAAAACTGATTTGTGCTACTCTAATGCAGTTGCATACCAATAATCACAACGAAACATACTGTGTCAATACAAGAATACACCAGGTGGCCTTTGCGCAGATACTTTATGGGTACAATTTAGATACTATTATCATTGAGATTAGCTGGCTATCATGCAAGAATGTTAGAAGAGAAAAGGTATAAGAAATATGACATAATTGAGGAGAAGAGCAAGAGAATCATGTTTACCAATGACTATTGAAAGAAACGAATTTTTAACATTTTCCTTATAACATGTCTCTTTCATAGCAACAATAATAGCCTGTCATGGATCAATCGTAACCAGAGGTACCTCTATGTATAATTTTCTGTCACAATCTACTCAACAATTCATGTCCTAGTGGAGCACTCCTGAAGGATGGAACATGCCCTGCTTATGTATAGAAAGAAACATATATGCTTTCAATATTAGCTATCTAGGTTAGTAAAATCCAGTAAGGCGAAGCAAAGAATAAAGAAACTAAAATTGTGTATTCTCTAACTTGTACTCCCTCTGTAAAGTAATATAAGATCTTTTAGATCTTTTACAGAGGGAGTATTATATAGCAGACAAAAAATTACATAGGTAATGTTTCAAGACCTAACTGTCACGGCACATCAAACAAGATAGAATAAGTTCATAGGAAAATAAAAAATCCTCTAAATATTGAAAGTGTTAGCATCTTGACTTCTATCAGTGCTGCAAAATAGATTGAGAATGCATATAACTGAACATTTACCATGTATTTTGAAAAAAATGCAACATCCATATCCTGTACACATGAAATAGCAACTAAATCTTTTAGCTAACATGAGATGACATGGAAAATCACATGTAAGCTGAGGCTTCTATTAGCATCAAAGAGTACCACAACTTGCTCACATCTATTGCTTAGGGGTCAGACGATGGTCGAGATCTGAAGGATGCTGACTTGTACAAGTAGCAAGCAAAACTGTTGTTCAAAAACTTATCTAAAGGCCAACATGAATCATCAAGACTGTCAATTTAGACTGGAACATACTTTTTCCAGTAGCTTAACCTATATGTCATCTCCAGTATTTTACTTTCTGTTTTGCAAAGCATGTGATCTACCTGTTACTATTTTGTCAAAGTTTTTTGTGGCAAAGGGGAATAGAATCATGGAAGCGTATGCAGCCTAATTAGATAAATAGCTTCTACTTCCTGAATCCTTCATGTTTATGATCATGTGTGATTCCTTGTCGTTGCTTCATGGCAGTTAAAGTTTGCTTCTGCAAGTTGATTCTGGGAATTTCAGTATCTGTACAAGTCTAGGCCACAAATTTAAAAATCATATGCAAGGAGAACAATTATTTTTCATCTCCAAGCAGTTGTGTGGCATAATGGCATTCTTATTTTCTGTAAGCATTTAATTCGCATAGAATTGAAATCACCTGGTTTGCATGAGCATTTCAAAGAGGCAAATACAACATACTCCCTATGTGGGGAAAAGGTATTAGCTTTAGATGTGATCACTAATGCTTCTTGGCTGTAGTTGTGGTTTCAGAAGTAGCATGCTAGCAGTCATTATATATTGCCTAAGTTGCATTTGTCTTAGGTACATCAAGATGAAGATCAAGAGATAGTATCAAGCTAACTCTAATGTGGAAATGGACGATGCCAAGCCTCTCAAGGACTCTGAAAGGTGTTTTTTTATTTTGTTCCTTAGTCGTGGCCTCATGAGGTCCCTTTTCTTCAGTCAAACTGGAGCACTCATGTTAGCTTGTCTTCGCTCTTGGATTAATTGTAATGCATCATCTCACCCATTTATGCTTCATGGGTGAGTCATACATATTATCATTAGATGTACCACTGCCTATGATGGTTCTAAACTCAAATAATACAGTATATGTATGTTTGATCAGTGTGCTACTAATAGATCCTAATGTTATAACATGCAACCATATTAATGCATAGTGAGACTGAGGATCAAACATGACAGCCGATTATGTTGAAGCAAGATAAATACACCTCTAGTTGTCGTCAAATATGGCAGCAGAATTAGGCACCCAAAGCAGAGATTCATCCACCAATCTTTCTTGTCCGGTGACGTGGCTATGTGGGCGACATCTTGACCGCCCCCCTAACACTATTGGAAGGAAATGCTGAAACCTGAGGTTGTTGACATAGACTATATGTATATATAGGGCTTTGCTACACCTACGTAATTATATGCTAGGTAAAGTTACATAAAAACTGATCTGGAATGATTTGATTGGAAGGGA